TTCCTCTTCCCAGAGAATTCTTCCAAATAACCTAACCCATCCCCAGGCTAGAGAAAGAGGAACAGAAAAAAAGAAAAGAAAAAAAAAGAAGAATGACAGGGCAATTGGTATTAAGAGTAGAAAAGAGAGAGCCCAATTCAGAGCTTTTCGCTGAAGAAAAGCATTTGAAAACCTGTTACTCGTACAGGACCACCCAGTCAGAATACAGGAGGAAGTTAAGCATGACCAGTCCCTCAGATGTTCCTTCTGTCACATCCTACTCACTGAAGTTATGTGGAGCTGCAGCAGGTTTTGAAATTACACAACCTCAAAAAAAGACCTACAGGGTTTTTGTTGTTGCTTTTGGTTCATAAGGCAGTTTATTAATGAGAAAACCACTTTCTACTTCTAATTTGTAATGATGTGTCCCCCATCCCCGAATAAGCATTAAAGCTTATGTACTGGACATGACTGGAAAATCTGAGCACCCTTAAGCTTGAACATTCAGATCAGAGTCTGGGTAAAAGGAACAATTGACTGTTCAATGGCCTATGTGACTCCTCCTGGTCCCCCTGTAAGGCCAAATCATCCCTATGTAGTTTAGCGTCAACCATTGTTCAGTTCTTGGGTGAACTTACAGAGTAATATGAGCGGCAAGTGCAAAGAGAATGTGAAATACCTTTTGGTTATTGCACTCATGTCTGGGGAGGATCAGAAGGAGGTGAACAGGTGCAGAATGAAATTCTGAAAGCAATTAAGGAGACATTACGAAGTCTCTACCTCCAGAATGACTTGGAAATATAGGTGGTCCTGTGCGATGCAATTTCCCAGGCAGATTTTGAACACTAAGCGAGATATTCACATTGGCAGAAGTTGCTGTGCCTGGAGGTAGTGACCCTACATCCTCTAAAAGCAACTTTGACAATCTGTTATTCACATTCACTGACAACTTACCTATGCTGGTTAGCTGAAACATCCATGGCAGATAAACAGTTAACAAAATGGCCAACCATGGCAAGTCTATAGGCACATGTTTGTGTATCTTATTCACGAGGCAAACATTTTAATGTGTATGTTTGTGCATGCGTGGAGAGACACACACACAAAGAGGGGGTAGAAAGAGAGACAGAAAGGCTAATGAATTGCACCAACCAAGGCAAGAGAATAATAAACATTAAAACTTCATTGTTAAAAGGGAAGGTGTAGGTTAACCTGGACTCAGAAAACTTCCTTCTAACCCTCCAGGAACACATTACCTAAGATACTAAAGTGCTAAATTGGTCAGATAAGAGACGTGCTAAGATGTACGATCTGAACAACAAGGAGAGAAAATTGAAGAGAAAATTGCAATCTCCACCAGCAAGAGATTTAAGTGAGATGAAGTGAAAATGTTTACAATGGAAGGACAGCGAGGAAATGTGAAGAGGATGATATTTAATAATAAAGATTAAATTGGAGACCTAGAAAAGGGCTCTAGGAAAGGCAGAGTCACACAGCTCCACAGGGATCCAGGCATGGGGGTTGGGAGACGCTTAAAGGGGCTCATCAGAGTCAGCAACAACTCCACTGAACACTGAGTGTACAATTGGTGTCAAGGCAGTGGCAACAGATGTTTTTCTGGAAGAAGAATGGTGGAATGATAGTCACAGAAGAATACTGTGACTTGCACAAGAGCTGTGTCTCACTGACAGCTAAGAATGTACACTGACAGACCCAGGAGAAGCACTGAGGCTGTGTCCCCAAAGCTGGTTTGGGAGACAGGGTTGAGGTGGGCTCAAAACAGAGAGAGGCAGAATGATGCCAAAGACCATATCTCTAGCTGGGCATTGTGGCACATGCCTTTAATCCCATCACTCGGGAGGCAGAGGAAAGTGGATTTCTGAGTTTTAGGCCAGCCTGGTCTACATAGCAAGTTCCAGGACAGCCAGCACTACACACAGAGAAACCCTGTCTCGAAAAATGAGACAGAGAGAGAGAGAGAGAGAGAGAGAGAGAGAGAGAGAGAGAGAGAGAGAGAGAGAGAGAGAGAGAGAGAGAGAGAGAGAATGAAAATCATACAACAAAAAAGACTACAAACTAATTACCATCATGGGCTGGGGAGATGGTTCAGTCATTAATTTGCTTATTATGGACAAGTGGTGACAGGGATTCTTGGGATTTCTTGTCACCCAACCTAGTTGAATCAGGAAGTTCCATGTTCAGTGAGAGACCCTGTCTCATAAAATCAGGTAGAAACAACCGAAGAAGACAACCAGCATCAATCTCTGGCCCAACGTGCACACATAAACACCGAATATCCCCACACCTACATGCGCACACGCACATAACACACACACACACACACACACACACACACACACATTTAAAGTTCTCAACCTACCACTTACCCCGAGACTAACTACTTACAACCTCTTTGACCTTGAGATGCCACATATGACAGTGGGGCTGGCAGTATTATCTCTTGAGGACTGAATGTGCTATTATATGCAAAAAAATCTTGCATATACCCACTGGCATACAGGAGATATTAAAACATGTTAGCAAGTTGCTGGACTCTAAGCAGCTTCAGTAGTAATCCTGATCTGCATAAAATAATTCCAGCTTGTTCCTGATCCCTGTGCATATGTATGATGGCTGCACAATGTATGTAAGGTGACAACTGTCCTCTAAAGGGAAGCTTGGGGGGTAGCTAAATATGAGTTAAGGTAAAGGCAAGGGCAATAGCAACATTCCTTCAGGTTTACAATTACTTTGTATTGGTTTCTTATATGTAAAACAAGATCCTGACACCCCAAATTACCCCCCCGTTTGTGTGTGTGTGTGTGTGTGTGTGTGTGTGTGTGTGTGTGTGTGTGTGTGTGTGTGGTTTCGTGAGATTGGCTGTGAATGTACCTGGAAACACAGCAGATTTCACTACAAGTTTTCTGGGTGTGAATCTGCCATGTGACTTTGATAGTGGGTGGCAGGAGAGGGAGCCCCTGGCTGTTTTCACAGCTGTTGGCAGAGGAGTAGAAGAGTTGGATTCAGCTTTTGTCAGAACTGAGGAGGATTGACCTTTTGGGTCACACAGGAAATGGACAGTTTTCTATCTTATGGTAGATAGGGACAGAATAACATAAGATGCTAACCTGAGTCTCTAAGATGATAAAGTGCGTTTTGCCCTTTCCCATGAGGTCTTTTATTTCTAAAAGAAGGCTTTCCAGGCAATGATAAAAGAATGCAGAGTTAAAACTAGCAGTTTGTATATTGTGGCTGCAGATACCACTGTCCGTTTCCTGCCCAGAGCATAGGTGGCTCACTGGGGGCATCCTGCTGGGACTCTAATTTGGCTCACTCTGTAGGAATGTGATTGTGAATGCATTCACCCCCAAACCTTCCTGGTTAAGACAATCATCACTTTGTTCTGGAGTCCTTTCCAGGATCCGCTGAACAGGTAGTGCTTTCTTCAACTTTCTCCTAAGGACCTTGAGGGACTTGCCATAGTCACCAGCGAGTGAAAGAAGCTGCAATTGTTTCCCCACCGGTCCATGAAGGAAGAGCATGGAAGAGCCAAGCATACAGCCAGCTGACCACAAATCCCAACTCGGGCCTTCCTCTGAAATCCCTTCCTCTTTTTCTTTCACATCTGCCCTGCCAACTCCAACGGGGGAAGCTCCTGCTAGGTCCCAGTATATGTCTTACAATGTTGGGGCTCCCTCCCTACCAATCATTTGTTAGAAAGGGGTTTTATGATACAAATTTGATAATCTCCCATGCACATTGGCACTGTTCTAATTGAAGTTGTAAACCCATAAAATTCAAGCCCTTTGTCTTCCTGAAGGCCACAAGGTTTAAAAAGATACTATTGTCTGGCCTAACACCCACTACATTGTCTCCAGAGACCGATTAAACAGAGTTGTGAATTGAAACAGTGCGGATTTTGTCTAGGTCCTTTTTAGGCCTGACAATGCCTTTTTCAGCATCCAACACAAAAGGAGGTTTAAGGATGGAGATTCTTCTAAGATAGCCACATCCATATGGAAGACAAGGTGGCAGGCAGCTGAGATCCAAACATGCCATCCACCACCCCCATCCCAGGTGACAACATTGTCCACTCCTCTCCTTCCACTTTGGACCAGAAAGCTAGGGCCCCTAAAACAATCCCAATGCCTGTTCTCCAGACCTCATCAGAGGCCTTGTCCCTGTTCCTGGTGGACACCACTCTCCTCCTGTCTTTCTGAAGTGGGTACCCAGAAATAAGGTCATCGAGCTTTTGCTTTTGAGATAGCAACTGCCTACCTGGAGGTTCTTCCTCTCTAAAGCTCAGGCAAAGAGCAGGTGCAAACCCGGGTGTGGAAAAGGGAGGAGAGCCCTCAATGTGGCTGCTAGCAGGATTCATACCAGTAGAACACACCACAAGGTGAGGTTGCTGAGTGTCCCAGGCCCTCCTCCTTCCCCGGGGTAAGTGCCCTCGCCAGTCATCATTGCCTTTTGTTTCTTCAGGACCCTCCCTGTCCTGTCCCACCACTGCCAGGGGCCTGCTTGGATGAGGAGGCAGGAAACGACGCACTCACACTCATGAGCTTAACTGTAGGTTCCAAGTTTCTCGATGCTCCTCAGTCCCTTGCCTATTCTGCACTCTAGAAAAAGGCACGAGTGCAGGACCCTGCCTGGTGGGCAGGGTTCACTTTTGGTGTCTGAACTGGAGCCTAAAGAATCACCAGCTTCACTCTGTGGGCAAAGACACCGCCCGTTGATCGGGTCCCCAGATTTGCCTCAGTGGCCTCCCTCCATTCACTTTCTTTCCTAACGCTTTGTTGGGACTTCAGTCTGACCTCCAATCTAACCGGTGGTGGGCCTCAATGCAAAAGGCTAGGAGCCTGCGGGTTCTCCCAGGTCCAGTCAAGGAAGACCAGCCTTCATTCCTTTAGTGGCAGGCGCACCAGGGACCCAACCCTCCACCCTCCACGTTACAGTCTAGCACCACAAATCAAGGGGAAAATACTCTCTTTTTAAAAATAAGTTGTTTCATACAAGTCGCTGTTTGAAAATATACAAATAAGGCTCAAGAAATAAAATCTAGCTTTGGGGTTCGCGGCGGGGGGGGGGGGGGGAGAGGGGGAACAACCGGGAGTCTTGGCCAAAGTCCCCTGTGAGTGTTTTTGCCACATCTGGTTAGGGCGTGCCAGGGACCCTCAAGAGGGTCCCTCAAGGCCAACCACTCACTTTCGGGCCTAGCTCGGTTGAAGCGTTACTGAGGCCAGCCGAACAGCAGTGTCCCCGAGTCCGTGGTGACTCTAGGCATCCCGCGACAGTCTCACCAGTTCCAGGAGACCAGAGCTGGGGGTGCTAAGTGCTGGTAGGCAGGGAATAGGCCCAGTGCCGAGCCTGGCCCGAAGGCTGCATAGCTCGGCACAGGGCACGCGGTAGCCGGCCGTGCGCCACACTTGTCCTGGGCTACCGCAAGGGTTCCCTCACCCCTGCCGCTGCAGGGTGGCCCGTCATGCACTAGCACGGGCACCACCACACGGTGCAGCAGGCTGGGAGCGGCCGAGTGCGGATCAGGTGGTGCTGCTGCCAGATCCGACGACTCCGTGGCCCCTGGCGCTCGCCCACGCTTCAGCTTGTAGCGATGGTTCTGGAACCAGATCTTGACCTGCGTGGGCGTGAGGCGCAGGAGTCGAGCCAGCTGCTCCCGCTCTGGCGCTGACAGGTAGCGCTGCTGCCTGAAGCGTCTCTCCAACTCCAAGGTCTGGGCCTTGGAGAACAGCACCCGCCGCTTCCTCCTCTTCTCGGTGTCGGAGCCTGGAGATGCCGGCCCGAGGGACGTCAGCTTCGAAGGGTCTGAGGGGCTGGTCTCCAGGCCGCTCTCATCAGAGGCTGGGAAGCACGAAGCAGACACCGCCGGATGAGAGGCAGTCCTCTGAGGGTGGTCTAGAACCAGCCTCTCCCCCGTACCTCCAGCTGCAGCCCCATCCCCTTGCACCAGGACTTGAGAGCCATTTCTTTTGCTGGGTTCACATTTGGGTACCAACGTCTCCCGCTCCTACGACCTCATCTATGCTACAAATAGTAATTACCACGCCTGAGATGACGCCCCACGAGAAACCCACCTTGGGGGTCCTCCTAAATGAGCTCTGCAACGGTAGCTGAGCTAGCAGACCAATTTCCCACAAGCTGGGTCACCAATGCGGGCCACTTCTGCTTTGCTAAGGTTTGCAAAACTCTGGGACGCCGAAGGGAGGTGTTTTAAATACTAAAATGTTCTGACCCTTAGGAATCTCCAGACACCAAAACCCCTATCTCCTAGTCGAGGTGCAGGGGTATACGCTCAGTAAGCACGGATGCACCACCTGGCGGTTTGAGGACTACAAAGCCTCCAGCTTGCCCAGAGGTTGAAGAATCCTGACCCGGGGATCTCTACTCCGGTCTCTGAGCCCGCCAGATGCTGCTCCCTCCCCCTCCCCCCCCACCTCCGCCGGCACTCCTGGCTCACTCACAAGGATAGTGGCTGCGCTCTGACTCCAGCCAGGCGGTGGCTTGAGAAACGCACGTCTGCGGTTCGCTCCTCACCCGGGGCTGCGCGTCCGGCTCAGGTAAATTCAGGAGACTGCGTACCGTGAAGCCGAGGCGTCCAGAGGTGGCCATGGCTAAGGAGGGGGGGAAGACGGCGGGGGCAGGGCAGGCTAGGAAGCCAGGGCCAGCTGGGGACGCCGCTCCTAAGGGTAGAAGAAGGAGGCGCTCGCCATGCGCTGGCTTCAGGGATGCCAGAGCCTTTTCGGAGGAATCCCTGTTTATATAAACGGCCCTCACCACTTGAAAGCCGAGGTCCGGGTGTCCAGGGTGTTAAGTACCTGAATGAGTGCTGAAGCGAAGCCGGAACAAGTCCGGAAGGTGCCATCCCCGCCCCCGCCCCGCCCCGCCCGGCCCCCGCCCCTTTGCACGGGTTACCTCCCCGAGGCCGCAGGAAGCAGCCCTTGGCTTTAGCGATTGTCCGATTAGACCAAAGTGAGGACAGATAATGGGGATTGTTACCAGTGAATAACATCTTGGGTGGCGAACAGTGACCGTGGTCCTTGCGAAGGAGCCCCAAACTTCCTCCTTCTCCTCCCGTGCCTGGGCCGGGTGGTGGCGTTGGAAATTGGGGGTGGGGGGGATGACTTATTAGTCCTTGTTTGTTTTATTTCAGAGCTTGTTTGCTGGTTGGTAGTTTCTCGCAGTTATTTGGAAAGTGATTTACAACACTACTGGCACTCTCGTCCCCACCCCCCCTTGGTAGCGCCTCTTAGAGAACTGAGGGTGGCCTGTGACCTGGTCTTTCTAGCTGTGTGGGACACAGGTTTGCAGATCACTAGGGAAGCTCCTCACACACCCCACCATCGGAAAGGGCTGGGAGACTGCGGAAGTGTCTCCCCTGGCCCGAAAAGAACTGGAGACAGCAAAATCCAGGCCTCTGGGTTCCGAAATGCCCATCCTTGACCTGGTCTCTATGGGTCATGAACCTGGGGTTCTGGGGCCAAGCTTTTCAAGGGCATATGGGTAGTAGAATTTTCTAGGGCAGCCTTGGCATGCCACTCGGGCATCGTCTCTGCCCCTGACTCCCAAGTTAGTTCCAGTTTCTGAGCTAGCAGTGTAGGAAGGGGCAGTGGTCTGTACCCTTGCTGCTTGCAGTATAGCAGACCACAGCACAGCTGCCTAGCCTGGCATCGGAATGGGCGGACAGGCAGAATTAGGCCTGCCCAAAACAAAATGTGCCTGGGAAGACAGTCCTCTCAGATCCTCTAGTCCCCTCTGTGACACAGAGAAAATGATCCACGTAGAAGGCGCCTAGCCTATCTCTAACTTAAGTCTAGCGCTCGATTTGCGGTCTCAGAGGCCGCTTTCCCTTAGCTAGAGGTTTGGGTATCTAGTTTCTAAATTTTAGGGACTAGAGATGCATTTGGGCAGCCACACCCGAAAAACCTGGCTCTGCTGGGGCTGAATTCGAACCTGGCAGGATGTGCCTCCCTGGGCTCCACCCAGCCTATCTGTCTTCCCCAGCAGCGGTCATACCAAGCTTGTCTGGAGTGCCCTGGCTGCACCTCGTGCGTGCCTGCACGCTGGGTGGTCGGGAGGAGGCTAGCCCACTACAGGCCAACTGCTAGGCCGCAAACAAAGGGGAAATGGAGCTGGGACGCCCGGACCTATTGGAAGCATTTGTTCCAGCAAAGATTTTGCATTTGTTCAGTCGGGAATAATGCGTGATTGACGTCTGCTCACAATGCGCTTTAGCTCGCTGGGATAAATCGGAGCTTGTCCGGTGTTGTCATGGTTTTCAATGGGATTCAATGGGACTGGGAGACCGATCGACTCTGCTGGCCATCTTTCTGCGGCCCTGGCAATAGATTTATTAGTTATGTCTTTTTAAATAAGATTAAATTGAAATGACTGTGCTGACCCCTTTGCAGTCAAGACCCAGGCAGGAGCCAGCGGCTAGCGGGAGGCAACCTCAGAACTTGGAGGCTGTGCCAGGTGAGGCCGTCCTAGCTCAGCCTCTAGCTACCTGTTGTCACTCTTAAGATTCTGTCCTTCTCTGCTTCCCCTCTCCCCCCTTCTCATCCGCCCTCCCTTGATGAATCGATTTGGTAATTTCTGAGACGATCGCTTTTAGAATGTCACTCCCCTGGCATTTCACAGTATAGGCCCCTCTCGACAGTGATGTGTTGTCAGTGAACGCTGATGTTGCCTTCTGCTGGACTTTCTAGGAGCAGATGTGTCAACTTTTGAGTTTGTGAAGGATCCTCCACAGGACTGGGGCAGGGCATTTAACAATTTTAAGAAGAACCGTGCTAGGAAAGATACAAGAGTCTTCCTTGGAATGACTGACCTCCTTAGCCTTTTAATCTATTTACCATCTAAGGCCACACTAATGTGCAGAAGTAATGACACTCCAGCTCTTGAGAGCTCTTCAGCACCAAATATTTGCTTTTACTCTTACTGTTTGGCTCCCAAGCAGAGATCCATCCCCATACAGCAGTTGTGTCGGAGAGAGAACTTGGATTTCGGGTGAATTCCTAATATCACTTCTCACTTCATGTTCTCGGCCTGGGAGCAGTGTTCCCAGGGTCTTGTGTGCATGTGTTTGTCCTGGGAACCCCATACTTCTTGGTCACACAAAGCCCAGTCATCTCCCTGCTTAAACATGCCCTCGAACACTGCCCTTATTCCCAACTCTTTTCTGAAACCTGACACCCATTCTTTCCCAGAATCAGCACCCAAGGACACCCAAGGAGGTTGTTCCATGTAAACTGTGCCTTCTGAAAAAAAAAATGGAGAAGAGGCAATCCTTAGTGGAAGGGCTCTCTTCATTGCCTCTTCACCTCAAAAACCCAAAGACTTGAGAGTAGAAAATGTTTGCACACTGGACCAGTAGGACAAGAGTGGAGACTTTTTCTATAGTGGAGATACATGCACATGTATCCCCCCCACCAGCCCCATACACAAGAATTATTGGGATTATAAGTTAATATTTCTCTAATGGGTCATTCTTTCCAGATTTTCAAATGTTGGTTGGTGTTCTACTCTGCAATGCAGCAAAGTTTGTTAGTACTATTACTTAACTGTGAGGATTTGTTTCCCTGCAGTTGGGTCTAGTATGCAACCCAATTGGAGTGAGTTTTACTATTTTTTAGGAGGAGAGGATAGTTTGACATGGTGTATTTAAGCCATCCACACCAATCATCCTTTCAAGTCTTACCCAGGGATGCTCATCACTGCAGGATGCTTAAGATATTGGGACTAGGAAGTTCCAAAATGAAACTGAAATATCTTAATCGTTTGGGGAAAATTGTGTCTATATTTTATGTTGTGTTTTTAAATCCTTCAGTTTTTTGCTGCTTCACAGATTCCTGCAACTCTATACAGTGCAGAAGAGAGGCACTACTGTGGAATCCTCTGGACAGATGGAGGACCCTCCACTATCAGGGCATTTTCCCTCATAGCAACTGCTTCCCCATCTTTATCAGCAAAAGGAAAAGGGAAATGGGTCTTTGGCACCTCCAAGAAGTGTCAGGGGATGATCTTGGTCACTCGTAAGACAGAAAGGAGAGACAGCATTTAAGGATCAGATCTCTTCACTTTTCATTCTGAAAGCTAGTTGCCACAAACACTCAGTGATGCTCCCAGCCTGGCTTCAGTCCTTTCCTGGCTGTGTTGATGTACACACAGATGACAAAGGGCAGCAGCTACTGACAGGCTGGGAATTTGGTCCATCTTTAAAACTGACTTTTGATCTTATTGCTTAGCATCAAGTGACAAGATCTGAGCCTCTCTGCATTAAATCTCTTAAGAAAAGACTTTTTCATTGATATTGCTGTTGTTTCTGGTCTCTGGGGAATTTTTTTCTTTTTCTCTTATGTTCATCTACTGAATTAAGCAGACAATGTACACACACACACACACACACACACACACACACACAGAGTAAAATGGTTCTGTGAATTTAAAACTGTGTTTAATTAAATACCACTGTACTCCATTCACTAAAAGCTTTTAATTTGAAAGACTAGCTATTTATCACTCTTCTGATCTTTCTCGTGCCTTCCAGTGGCATAAAAATATTTGTGCTGACATGATTTGTAAGTTGTCACAGTCAGAATAACTATATGACGTGGAGTAGTATGCCAAATGCTATTTGTCTAGATCTAAAATTCCTATTTTGGTTTCATCTTTTTAAAATGTTTTTGTTAAAGGTACATTGTTAAAGATACAAATGTAATTTAACTGGCATAAATATGATTGTAAAATACAGAATTCTGAGTTTTACATAATAAAATATCCAGGCCTTAGATCACACTTAGTGTTATGTACAGACCATGTATGGTGTTATTGACAAGAAAGACTGACCCCAGGACCACATCTTATGACTAGTACCTTGTACAGTCTAATTTATTGTGCATGCTGGAAACCAAAGACTAACACTGCAGTTGAAACCATTTAAGAAAAAAAAGTTACCCATACATTATAAAAAAACATTATAATGAGGTGCTTAGAAATAGTTTTATATTGTTTTGAAATCAATTTCAAAATTTTGCTGTACATTTTTAAAGTGAGGTACTATTTCTTCTTATTGGCAGCAGCTTAAATTACAGACCACACTAGTCATTCTAGGTAAGTGTTTGTTGATGCTTTATTTAAGGAGATTTCTCAAGGACTAAAGATTCAGATACTCAGTTTCGACAGCACCCATAAGAATGCCACTTCAGTTTCAGACATTTGAGAATGTCTCTCTGTGCACTCCCATCTGTGCTCCTCCCTGAGTCAGGCTAGATTGTCCAGGAGAATTGGAGCTTTAAGGAGAGCCTGGAAGATGGGCAGCCAGAAATTAGTTTGAGGATAAAGAGGACCTAAAAAAAAAAAAAAAAAAGAGGGCCCCTTTAATATAGACAGTATTCAAAAGAAGTATTAGGAAGTAAACCTAAAAAGGGAATAAGTATTCACTTAAAGCTACAGACTCAGCCTGATCTGATGAACTCAGGGGAGAGAAGTGTGAATGGAATATTCCAGATGACAGTGGGATTCCCACCCCCATTTGTTATGTTTCTAAAAATCAACTACAGTAGATAAACTTTGGCTTTCGAACTCTCTCAAGTTGTGCTATTTAGTTTACTCTTAAATTGTCCTTTGGAAAAGTCTTTTTCCTTATCTAAGGGCAGGCCTGAAATGACAGCCTGGAGGAATGTCCTACAACAAAATGGGGGGGCTCTATCTGTGTCCTGCGGCTCTGGGAACCCCTTACCCAGCCAAGGTGGCTGCCTTTGTGTTCTTGATTAAATGGGTGTTTACACTGAAGTCACATACTGCACAAAGGAAACAACACAAAATAAAAATGTC